TGGGTGAAGTATCCCTTAACCTGCTTCCCTCATACTTGTGTAATTGTATTCATGCGAAAAGGACTGGAAGCTAGGGCGCGGTCTCACTGGCCATCCGTACCGTGCCCAAGCACGCTTCAACGCTAAAGTCCAGTTCGTTTGACCAGTGTGGCCGTTCCATATCGTGCTCAGACCGGTTCACTTCCTTGTCTTTGGCACACTTCGGAGAGGTGTGCTTCGGCACGGTACACTTCATGCACGAGCTCAAGCACGTGGGTATGCTGACAGCCTTCATTATGGAGAGATCCAGAGTTTCATGTCTGTATCTGACTAAAATGACTCAATATAAGACACAAAGTAGCTGTCATGCTCTCTGTGTTGCTCTCCGATGTGCGGCCGCGGACTCGCCTGTGGCTCGGCCGCGTGTCTATTTTTATTTATTTATTGCTGTGTCTGATTAAAATGGCTTAAAATAAGCTGCAAAGTCACTAAAGTATCTGTTATGCGCTGTGTTTTTCTCTGATGTGCAGACGCGGACTCAACTGTGTATCTCTTTTTCTCTCTCTTTCTCTCTCCTCTCCTCTCTCTCTCTCTCTCGTCCGCTGTTTGTAACTGAGCACGCTTCATAATAACATAAAGCGCGCATGTGTTGTATTCCGACGTTATGTACAAGAGGTAATAGTGCTTAAGCCCGTATGGCCGCGGGCCGTGCCGGCCAGCGTGGGAATGGCGCAGCAGGTGGGCAATCATGCTTGGGTACAGCACGGTACAGATGACCAGTGTGACCTAGCCCGAGGTCTTTGCTCTACGAGCCAGTCACAAAACGTATTGTTATCTGTTCCCAAACTGTGTCTTGAAACGGGGAAAAGGAGTCTCAGGTACGCTGCTCCTGCTGGCTGGAATCTCCTTCAGGATGATCTTTGTCTTGGGGAGCTGGTCTCTCTTTTTATCATTTTTAAAGTGGATTGAAGGTGTTGGAGGAAAATGCGAGATGCTTTAAATAATGACTTTTCTTCTCTGTGACTCAGGACATGTTGATCTGTGTTTGTAAGTACTCTGTGTTTTATGTCTGTAACATGCTTGTTGTGCTGCTGCCCCTCTTGGTCAGGACACTCTTGTAAATTAGAGTCTTTAGCAGGAAACCGCTTTTTGAACAGCTGTTCACTGCAATGACCAGAATAAAATAAATGAAAACAAACTACAATATACTGAGACACAAATCTATCACAACTGTATATAAAATATTGTTCATACAATGACTAAAAACTTGAGATCACTCACTTTGAACAACCAGAAGAAACATAAAGCTCGAGGAGGCAAATGTGTGAATAAACTGTTTTAATGATGAAGAAAAAATGAAACAAACTTTGTCTTTAGTGAGAGCAGACTATGAACAAGCTCAGTGTGTTAGTGAAGTGTACTGTAGGCATATGTTTCACCTACATACACTATGTCGTCTTTCTACAGATGTTAGTTTCCAATGTGGGATATTCGATTTTTAAAAATGGTTCTTTAAATGTTAAGCTGTGGTTTGTCTGTCAGTGGGTTTCATTTCTGATAACTGTCGTTCTCATGTATCTAATTTAAGAACTTGGTCTCATTAACCACAAAGTCCACACAGTGAGACACACACGTATCCTCTGTACAGTCTCAGTGTTCAGCTTCATCATGGCCGGACGTCTGCTGTTTGTCTTCTTCATGTGTAAGTAAAACCTTTATTGATTTATTCAGTATTATTGTGGACTATTATAAAGCTCTGCAGATTGAAACATGACGTTAATGTGTCATGTCAGATATCATCATATCAGTGATTAAGCTTTGAGTCGGTGATATTGTGTTTTGTGTGTTCTGCCAGTTGTGACAAATAAAATCTATTTTTGTCTCAGTTATTAATTCTCCATTTGATTAAAATAAATGAATAGTTGGAGGAGTTTGAATGTGTGAACTCTTGGAGTTATTATTATGTGTAGTCAACTTACTTTCACTGTGTTTTTTAAACAGATGTCTTTAATGGGATTCAAACAGAAGGTCAGTCTGTGATCTCTCATGGTTCATGTCTAACTGTGCTGTGATCGCTGCACTACTGAAGAATTTAAACATTTATATACAGCTTATGTTTGAGTTTGATGAAACATATTATTGTTTATATTTTCAGCTCGTCTTCCACCTAAACTTACAGTGAATTCAGCGGTGATCAAAGAGACAGACTCAGTCACACTGAACTGTCAGACTCCATCATCTGTGTCTCAGTGTCAGTACTTCACTTTAAGTGGAGAAACTGTGAGGACATTATCCTGTCTGCAGACACTGACAGGAAGTGAACTGCTGAGGATGGATCATAAGAGTTCACCTGCTGAGGTCAAAGTGAAATGTTTTTACACTGTTCAGAGTGGAGACATAAATGCTCCATCTCCACACAGTGACACAGTCTCCATCAGCATACACAGTGAGTAATACAAGTGTTGTCAATATTCATATATTTTGTTACATCATCAGAAAGAACCCATCTGGTTCAAGCAGTCTGATTTAAAGAGTTGGAATATTGTCAAAAGGCATCCTCTATCAGTATACATTTGTCAAGTGATTTATTTGAATGAAAATGCTTTTGCAGATTTGAGATGTATTTGAGCTACATTTGCTTTGTGTGTTTTAATAATTATTTTGAGAGTGATTATATGAGATAATCTGTTGTCGTTTATAGTCCTAAAAACACTCAAACAAACATACTAATGGGAGCATTGGTGAGGAATGTATTATACTGTTTCAATAATGGTGAATATGTTTACATTTCTATTTTTCAAATATATTTGCTCATATTTTCAGCTCTTCCTCAACCTGACCTGATGGTGAATCCAGCGATGATCACAGAGACAGACTCAGTCACACTGAAGTGTCAGACTCCATCATCTGTGTCTCAGTGTCAGTACTTCACTTTAAGTGGAGGAACTGTGAGGACATTATCCTGTCTGCAGACACTGACAGGAAGTGAGCTGCTGAAGATGGATCATAAGAGTTCACCTGCTGAGGTCAAAGTGAAATGTTTTTACACTGTTCAGAGTGGAGACAGAAATGCTCGATCTCCAGAAAGTGAATATTCCTCCGTCTCTGTTCAAAGTAAGTAAATCTGTCTTCAAGCTGGATCAGCAGAAGAAAAACCCTGTGGTGTAAATGTCATGAACAAAACATTTGATTTTATTTTTAGGTGAGACAAACTCAAACAAGGAGAGTCTCAGCACTTTGAAAACCTCAGTTTCTATTGTAACTCCACCTGCTGATCAAGGTGAGTATAGCCTACTGCATATTTCAGTGTTGCTTACTCTTTTACCATCATTTACTAACTAGCACTGTCACATAAAACTACAGTCCCACATTTTCCTTAAACTTCAGACTCCTGTTAAAACGTAATTTTTTCAGACATTCAAGTCCAACAGACTCCTGATTTATCCTTTAAACAAGTCCCACACAGCGGGAGTTTGCCTGGACAAACTTAGTGGTATGATGGTCAAAGTCATACGTTGGTCAAAGACGATACCAAGATTTAATATTTGGTTGAAACGAGCCAATTAACTGATCAACTTCAGTGGTGATGGTATCTGTTACAATAAAATCATATTTCAGTTTTGTCAGGATTAGGATTAAGAAAATTAAGATAAATCCACTTTTGGATAGTGACAAAGCAGTTATTAACAGTTATGAGAGGACAGTTGATTCCTTATTATTGGGTTTTATCATCAAAGTTTTTTAGTCCCCTCCATCAGCAAAAAGCAGAAGAGGTTTATTTTCGGGTTTTGCTAAAATATCTTAATATTTATAGCATCGTTGGCATAATGGTGAAATCATAATGAAATTGTCTTTCCCAGAGGACACGAGTATAGAGATACAGAGTGATCGGCCTAAAGATGGATTTTGTGAAAAATCTGCATGGGTTAAACTTCAATAAGGCAGTCAAGTATTACTTTGAGGAGTTCACAATCCATCCTGGTGACGGGGGTTGGAGGAGATGACTATGCTATGCTATTAATCCTATAGAGGATAAAGCAAAGCTGCCCAGGACGCAGAGCTTCTGCAAAAAAGCAGTGGAGGGAAGCCATCTGTATGCAGCTAGCTATAGTCAAGGTTCAAGGTTCAAGTTTCAAGGTTCAAGGTTTCTTTATTTGTACCTTCATAGATTAATTTGTTGTGCAAGACAGGAGATTCAGCACTCCATTAGATACACACAACACATAACAAATTCAAGGTTAAAAAGACCAGACAGAATACATTAGAACAAACATTTTCAAAGAGCAAAGTCCTTACACAGACAACAAATCAAAAGTGTAAGATCGACATGTAACTGCAGGAGCTGGGGATCGAACCTCCAACCTTCCGGTTGAGAGACGATGGACTCTATCAACTGAACACAAACCTGACAGATAGAGTGAAGAAGCCACTTGTCTTGGATAATAGAGCTTGCCTTAAACTGCAGCTGTTAAGAATACAATTCTGACAGGTTTGATTGAGACTCATCTTTAAATTTGCTCGCCCGTTTCAGGATTTAATTAAGAGTGTTTTTGTTTTTAAAAGTCAGAATTGATTGAGTGACCCTTTATACTAATTAATCAGAAAAAACATCTGAGAATAAAAATCTCTTTTTTTAAGAGTGTCCTGGCCAAGACAGGCAGCAGCACAATTTTCAGAGTTTCTGACAAACAACGTGCTGCCTTAAATACTAATATAATACATAACTATTAAAAACCAAAATATACAAAATAACAAATTTAATCCTCAAATAGTTGTCAATATCGCCCACAAACATGCATATATCAGAAGGGAACATCTACAGCCAGATGTGTCCTCTTCCAAGTCATTTAACATCCTCTTAAAACATGACAGCAGCTAGTTAGGTTTCAGGTATTTTTGTAGTTTGAAGTTTTTTTATTTCATTATTTTGTCACATACATTCATATGCCTAGCCCGCATGGGCTTACGTGACACCATAAATTAAAACGTTCCAGGATCAGAGTGCATTAGGTAAACTATGTTCATTGGTAAGAAACAAAAAGAGAAAGCAAAAGCAAGTCAAACTAATTAAACAGAATATCCTGTCTTCTTTTCCAGGCTTTTGAAACAAAATGATTCAAACTTAAACAGCCATTCCAGTTTTTGCACATCTGTCCATTCCAGATGTAATTCCTTCCAAGTAACAGGGGCAGCAAACTTAAACAACTTTTTCCCCAGTTCAGTTCCCACTTTTGGAACAGACAGCGAGGAAAGTTTGTGAGAAGATTATGAGTTCCTCTTCTCATCTGACTGATGGAGGTCAGGAGGTATGACAGAAAATGAAGTGATGAAAGGAGTGATGAACCGCAGAACTCTGTGATACAGAGTCCAGAGTTACCTTTGAGAAACAGTGTGCATATGTTTCACATCACAATTGTTCAGCACAGGCAGAAAAGTGGCAGCAACCAGTCCCCTACAAGATTGATGCCTGACTTTCTCATCCCCACCGTGCCTCCGCCATTATCCTCTGTGTCACAGTCAAAATTGAACTGAGAAGCTGGGCTGAAACACTCTTAATGTTTCTGTTATGTCCCATGAACTGAGACATTAAGAGCAAGTCATGCAGTGTTACTAGATCAGAGCATTGAGACCAGACTAGCATGAGTCAGCAGTTTTAAGTTTGTCTGCACAGAGTTTAGTTTTATACAAGCCTGTAAGTCAAGTGACTACGGTGTTGTTTGTTAGTATGTAAAATAAAAAGATCATTTCCTAAGTTTAAATGATTGCAGTGCTAATTAAGTTAGCCAGTTAATGACATTTTCCAGTATGTGTTAGCATCAACCTAAAAAACTAAGTTATGCATCCCGGCCCATCTTAAGATTCATACTAACATATGTACAAATACTAATTAACTAATATCAAGGCTGCTAAGAAAAGTCACCTAACAATCTAAAAGTAGGAATTGGTGAGCCCTAATCTGTCTCCTGCTACTGTAGGTATTGTGGAGAGAGAGTCAAGCAGGACCAGAAAATGCCATCATTTGTCACAACTACTGTAGAACATTTTATTATTCAAGAAAACTTAATTAACAACTTTGATTACCTGTAAAAAATTAAAGAGGTATTTTTATTGGCCAGGTCTGACTGTTCCCAGCTCTGTTGCTTCTACTCTGGTGACTCCTTTAAAACAAACTTATTTTGAAATGTACTTTCCTTATGGAACAGGTTGGACTATGGGCACAAGTATAAATGGTGGTTCCACTGTTACCTCCCAAACACCAGGGACACCAGAATCAGGTAACGTATTTTACAAAGTGGACAACTTAAATGTCTGTCAGATTGTACTTACATACTGGTTGCTTATTGGTTGGTCTAATGTGAGTGATTTATATACATGAACCCCCATGTGGTGCTCTCTGACATTTGTTAAGTCTTTAAAGCACAACTTCAACATATTTACCCACACACTCATATACTGATGACGTTGACATGCAAGTCTCGTCAAAATCAGACAAATTCACTCCTCTGAGGCTCTAAGACATTTGTTGTTCCATGTTTTGTTCAAGAAAAGTATAGACAGTACAGTCTTAATGTTATTTACGAGGCCTTAAAGAAACAGTTACAATATGAGCTCCATGCAGCATCTGGTGGAGAAAGAAGAGTAGACCATGTTTAGAAAATCAAAATGTTAAGATGAGATTTAATATAAATTCTCCTGACTGATGTTTCGAGCTTGGACCAAGTCAAAATGGTTTCAACTTTGGGTGAATCTAACATTTTCCCCCCAGATGGCTTTAAAAAACATCTGTGTATACAGAACATTAGAGAAGAGAAGAAATTCCCGCTCGCTCAAATGCCTCCAAAAGATTTAATTGAAACACAAGGTTTTTGACCATAGTTCTTCTTCAGGTGTTCACTTTGGTGTAAAGAATGTTAACATGTCTCTAATCCAGTCGTAGTACGGCTGGTTGTAGGTCTTGTTGTGGCTGTTTGTGCTAAACACCAGTGTTGTTGTTGTGGAGACGGCTGTGTTAGGGCGCACTCACACTCGGCAATCCGGTTAGTCCTGGAGCAGCGTGAGTGCAGGCCAGTGGAGGAATGGGGAGGGGGTGCTATCGTGCTTAAGCACGGTAAGGGACAACTTTGCCTAGTGTGAGCCTGCCCTTAGTCTCCAGTCGTTTAATGTAACCTGTGTAAGGTGACACTTTTTAACTGCCTCTTCTCTTAATGCAGAGAAGATCATGTGGGTGATCGCAGCAGCTGTGACGGGGGGTGTCCTCCTGCTGGGATTGGCCCTTCTCTTTGCTCAGAGCAGAATTGGTAAAATGACAAATCATTAATATCTCAAATTTAAAAAAATACTGGGAACTATTTACACCCATTTGTAGTTGAAGAAAATATTTCATATGAAACAACTTTTGATTCTCTTAAAGGAAGCTGGCGGTAGTTAACATGCGGTATTCCTGTTAAGAGGGTTTTGTGGAAGCTTGCTGATATCAATAACTACTTTTTTTTTTTTTTTTTAGATAAATGTGATTCCAAAAGGTAAGAAAACTTATTTCACATATATATTTGGTCAACATGTAGAAGAAGAACTTCAGATACAAACATGTGAAAACAATAAGTTGGTCAACAAGTTGTAAAAAGATAAATCAAAGGCATTAGGAAAAGATTGAGTCGGTGGAGAAAGCTGAATCAGCAAATATTTAGGAAATAAAAGTGAGTCAGCAGAGTAATAGTGACAACTTTTTTAGTTTAGAACGCCATCCAATAATTAACCATGCTGAATCCGATAAAAAGTCATCGTACCTTGTTTATATTAGCTTTGGTTATATATAAACCTAATGTTTGTAAAAACATATTTATATTAATTGTGTTTTTTTTTCTTACTGATTATAATTTGTGTCATAAACTACTTTAATCTGTTCATCTTACTTCCCTTCCGTTCTCTTATCTACGCACACACACACACACACAAACACATACACACACACACACACACACACACACACACACACACACACACACACACACACACACACACACATTAAAAGTACGCTAAAGATGCTCAAATAAGATGACCTGCATTTCAAATGTTTCACTTGATATTCTGTAATCACATCAGGTGATCTTCGTGTGTGGAGGCTTATTGATGATGATGCGTATCACAACAATCATCATAAACTATGAGTGCAGGACAGCAGCTGCAGTAAAATATTAAAAGAAGGAATCGGTGCATTTACAGCGGGGATGTACCAGCTGATTTCTCTCTCACTCTCTAGAGTTTCCTCTATGTGGGAAACACTGTGATGATGAGACTTAATCATTTCTGCTGACAATGTTTCCCTTTGTAAATCATTTTTGGGGATTTTTGCCGCAGGTTGAGAGCGTCACAGTGTTAGTGTTTAGGTCATATTGTTGCTCTGCACACTATAGGATCAAAACTGTTCATTATGTGATTGTTGTTGTCTCAAATATCTGTTATGATGTTGAAAACCTAAGTGTGGATCAGACTTAACACAATACATTGAGAAACGTGTTCTGTGCTGTTGCTTCCTCTTCAGTAAGGATATTTTTTAACCAAACCCAATCTATTATGTCTTTTTTTTCATTCAGAACAAAAGCAAACATTGCAGGTAAATCCAAAGGTATGTAGCTCACTCCTGTATTGAAGAGACCAAGCCAAATACAATAGAATATGTTGGTTTAACATTTAATTACATGTCTGTGTATACACTTCACTGCATTAAAATGCTAATTGTCTTTGTTTTAGATGATCAGAAATATATGGTAAGTCTCACCAATGATTGTAAATGTCAAACCTGCTTCAACTGTAACATTTTCCAGCACACAGTAATTCCACAACAACAAAAACATCATCAAGGTTCAGTCCCTGTACCCGTTTAATTAACAATTATATTACAGGTCACATATTATACTCCTTTTCAAAAAGTTAAAATAAATCTCAGAGCTCCCCAAACATATCTGTGAAGTTTCTTTGTGATGTCATGAAGAGAAAATCTCCAAACAGCCTGTTTGAGCACACATTGTCTGAAAGGTGGAGCAGGCTAAAGACAGAGAGGATGGACTTTTCTCATTATTTGTTGTCTTGTTTTGAGCTTCTGATACCCTTTCATTCAAACTATTGATCTGTTGTAAACATCATGAATCAATATAAAAACATTTTTTTAACCCCAGAGACATGCTGTTATGAAATCTGAGATAACTTTCATTTGAAAAAAAAGAGACTATTTTCCTTTATTCATAACACAATAGATTTTGAAGCAGTTTATCCCTGTGTGACAGATTATTGGGATGAAATCTATGAAAGTTTAGTCGACTCACCTCTAAATCTTCCAGATGCAGTTTATTGTAAATCGAAAAATAGACTTCAGCTTGTATAGCATCCTTCTCGTCTTCTAACTTCTCAAAGCACTTTTACACCTACACATTCACACACTGATAACAGAGGCAGTAATTTATCCCATTCATACACCGCTGGTGAAGCAGTGGGAGCAATTTGGGCTTAAGTGTCTTGCCAAGGACCCATCGAACATGTAGATGCAGGGGCTGGGGATTGAACCCCCAACCTTCTGGTTGAGAGATGACCAACTCTTGCACTGAGCCACTTCACAATAAGATTTATTGACAGAGATAGTGATGGGACACATAATTGTTTACTGATCATAATCTGGCCTGCTTCCTACGTCAAGGTGGGGAGGCTGCTGGTCCCCCTTCATTAATAGGACAGCTAAAGGCAGACTGTGATTGTTGGTAGGAGAGGGTGGGTGATACTGAGAGTCTGAATAAATGATGGTGATTTTGAAACTATGATGATGATCATTAAGATGATTTGGACATATTGTATGTTTATACTTTATTTTTTATTTTTAGGGTGGTTATGATGAAACGTACAGTATCGTCTTCTATGAATGCAACATTGGTGAGTTGAGAAACATCATAACTTGATAAGAAAAAACACAAAATGGTGGCAGGTATTCAGACCTCAATGAGGGCGACTAAGCAGTGTGTGCTTCTTATTTCTCTCAGAGTGAAAACTGCAGCACCTCAGAGATGAAGGCTACATCAGCTCAGAGAGATACAGAGTGTTCAAAGCTCTCTGACATTAGCTCAGAGGAAAATGTTGTTTCCTGTATCATTATCACATTTATTTCTCATGTACAGCTTCATTGCTTAAATGAATAACATCTTTATCAAAGTAGACATTAGCACGGTGAACTGGTCTACTGCATTGATAGAAACAAAGAAATCAGAAACTGAATAAAGTTAGAAGATAACATCTCCTGTATCACAATGTTTGAAATAATAAATATATCCTACATAACAACAAACTATGTTTCTGCTCTTCATGTTAACTTCAGCTTGATATTTGTTTTTAAAGTGTTAAAGACTGAAAGGGATGGGAAAAAATACAAACACACTACAATACAATACAAAGAGGAGAACGAGGAAACCACCATAGAGACAGAAATCTATCACAACTATATGTTCAAAGACCAAGCCAAGAAAAATCTGAATTTAGAATGAGTATTGTAATGAGCATGGCAGAGATAAAAGTAATGAGTGAAGTTGGATGAAGGATGATTATGAGGGTCGATAGATGAGGGGATGAATGTAAGGGTTGTTTTCAAAGCACTTATGATCCACCAATGTAGCATACTACTAAATAAAAAACTTTAGACGTTTTTTATTATTATTTATACATTTGAAGAAGTCACAGAAGTGTCCACTAGAGTGGACATCATGCTAAAATTACTATTATTTATTTTTTTATGAATGGAAAAAACAAATAGTTTTTGTTTCTTTATAAAACACATTTTCTGTTTGTCACATGCAAATGGTAAATGGACTTGGGCTTGTATAGTGCTTTTTTAGTCTTCTAACTACTCAAAGAGCTTTTACACTGCAGGTCACACCTACACATCCAAACACTGATGGAAGAGGCTGCTATGTTACGTGTCTATCAGAAGTAATCCCATTCATACACATTCATGTGCCAACAAATGAAGCAGTTGGGAGCAATTTGGGGTTAAGTGTCTTGCCCAGAGACACATCGGGCATGTGACTGCAGGAGCTGGGATAGAAGCCCCGACCTTCCTGTTGAGAAACAACCAACTCTATTTCTGAGCCAGCCATCCACTGTGTCCATATGTCCAATGGGCTGGATTTAGTCCTTTTGAGTTTCTTGAATTTGAATTTTGAAGGTTTTCTGTCTTTCATTTTTGAAGTTGTTTCTCTATAAAGGAAAAAAAAAAGCTTGATTGGTTTAAAATGCCTCCACAGGTTTTTCCTGGTTGCTGCCAGAACAGCACAACAGCAGACATTTAAGGGTTAATGGGAGAGCAAACATTGTGGGAGAGCTGGGGTTTGAATTCAGACTTAAGCTCTTGCTGAATTAACACCTTCAATGAAACTTACAGTATGTAATAACTCACAGAAAAAATAATGGATGTAAAAAACAAATCTCTCAAAAGTCATAGTTTAAAAATATAAATCTATTAATTTCAAAAAAGTTTGAATCCCCATCAAATATTGTGAAGATCAGCAAAGTCTCTCCAAACCTAAAATCAATATCTAGAATTTCAACAATAATATCGTTCCTTAGTTTTTACTTGATGTTGAAATGACTTGTTGATGCTACATTATGCCTCTGATTGATTGATGATTTGATTGTACTGTATGATCAAGCGGCTGGCCTGCATTGTCCATGAGTAGACAAACTCATTGGCATGTCCTTATTTATAGGCTATACTTAAAGGGACACTTCACCTGTTGAAACATGAATCTGTATTGACATTGGGTCATATGTAGAAATGTGAAATACATTTTGAAGTTGGTGCCTTCTTGGCCGTGAAAAGGCAGAAAGTGTCTTTTGGCTCATGTTGATGAAAGACACCAAATCCCAGAATGCACCGCAGGCCACTCCCACTAAGGTCCTCTAATTCAGAATCAGAAATACTTTATTAATCCCAAGGGAAATTCGATCGTTACAGTTTCTCCAAAATATACAGTATAGCAGTAAAAATATAGTAATAAAAACATTTACAGACATATTTACTTCAACACATAAGACCATTTCCTTAACTGATTCAGAGATTTCTTCCAGAACTGATCTTTGTAATTAATGGCAGAAAACAGACTCTATGTCTGTGTCCATAGTCAAACAATGAGAGCATCGACACTACCAGTTCACCCCAACTCCTCACCGCCGCCGACAGGCAGGCATCATGTCTCTGCTGCTGAGCTGGCGGTGGCCGGCGCGGCAATATAACAATATAAAGACGGTTGCTGCCGACAGGCCGGTCTTATGTCGCAGCTGGGCTCCCGGGGCTCGCGGGGCAGAGCTCGCAGCGGCCGGGCTCATGGCAGCCAAAACACAAAACCGGCCTGTCGGCAGCAACCTCTCGCCGCTATATTTATGTTTTTTCGCCATTATCAGCTTTCTCCATAGAGCCTGTTAGCACAGCTTCCAAGCAATATGGCGGACGTTAAGTTTAGATTCTTGGAGCGAGTTCCCACCCACTGATCTGTGATTGGTCTGTAGCTTCAGTGGTCGAAAATATGAGGAACTAGCATTGTAGTTTCACCCCGCTAACCACAACAGCTTCCAGTGACGCAAAAATCGTCATTTTGCGTCACTGGAAGCTCCTTTTCAGACTTAGAAATACAAAGATTTCCCATCTCAGGGGAAAATGAGGGTGGGATGCACGACCATTCAAAAATACTACCAGGTTTCTAATGATACAAACTTAATGCAAATGGGTGAAGTATCCCTTTAACCTGCTTCCCTCACACTTGTGTAATTGTATTCATGCGAAAAGGACTGGAAGCTAGGTCTTTGCTCTACGAGCCAGTCACAAAACGTATTGTTATCTGTCCCAAACTGTGTCTTGAAACAGGGAAAAGGAGTCTCAGGTACGCTGCTCCTGCTGGCTGGAATCTCCTTCAGGATGATCTTTGTTTTGGGGAGCTGGTGTCTCTTTTTATCATTTTTAAAGTATATTGAAGGTGTTGGAGGAAAATGCGAGATGCTTTAAATAATGACTTTTCTTCTCTGTGACTCAGGACATGTTGATCTGTGTTTGTAATTACTCTGTGTTTTATGTCTGTAACATGCTTGTTGTGCTGCTGCCCCTCTTGGTCAGGACACTCTTGTAAATGAGATTCTTAATATCAATGATGTTTCTCCTGGTTAAACATTTTCATAAAAAAAGGGTTGTCTGGAATAACAGGATTGGAAAGACATTCCTGAGCCTCGTGGGAATGACTTTGTGAAGGCAATCTTGATTTTGAAGACACGTTTGTTATATTTACTACATCTGACCAGTGGGTGGCAGTGTATGGCTTGATAATTTCCACTACAGAGTCTGATGTGAAACCACCATGCATTTAGCAGGAAACAGCTTTTTGAACAGCTGTTCACTGCAACCTCCAGAATTAAATAAATGAAAACAAACTACAATATTAAACACATTATAATACAAGAGACACAAATCTATCACAACTGTATATAAAATATTGTTCATACAATGACTAAAAACTTGAGATCAGTCACTTTGAACAACCAGAAGAAACATAAAGCTCGAGGAGGCAAATGTGTGAATAAACTGTTTTAATGATGAAGAAAAAATGAAACAAACTTTGTCTTTAGTGAGAGCAGACTATGAACAAGCTCAGTGTGTTAGTGAAGTGTACTGTAGGCATATGTTTCACCTACATACACTATGTCATCTTTCTACAGATGTTAGTTTCCAATGTGGGATATTCAATTTTTAAAAATGGTTCTTTAAATATTAAGCTGTGGTTTGTCTGTCAGTGGGTTTCATTTCTGGTAATAGCTGTCGTTCTCATGTATCTAATTTAAGAACCTGGTCTCATTAACCACAAAGTCCACACAGTGAGACACACACGTATCCTCTGTACAGTCTCAGTGTTCAGCTTCATCATGGCCGGACGTCTGCTGTTTGTCTTCTTCATGTGTAAGTAAAACCTTTATTGATTTATTCAGTATTATTGTGGACTATTATAAAGCTCTGCAGATTGAAACATGACGTTAATGTGTCATGTCAGATATCATCATATCAGTGATTAAGCTTTGAGTCTGTGATATTGTGTTTTGTGTTCTGCCAGTTGTGACAAATAAAATCTATTTTTGTCTCACTTAATAATTCTACTTTTGATGAAAATAAATGAATAGTTGGAGGAGTTGAAATGTGTGAACTCTTGGAGTTATTATTATGTGTAGTCACCTTACTTTCACTGTGTTTTTTAAACAGATGTCTTTAATGGGATTCAAACAGAAGGTCAGTCTGTGATCTCTCATGGTTCATGTCTAACTGTGCTGTGATCGCTGCACTACTGAAGAATTTAAACATTTATATACAGCTTATGTTTGAGTTTGATAAAACATATTCATGGTTTATATTTTCAGCTCGTCTTCCACCTAAACTTACAGTGAATTCAGCGTGATCAAAGAGACAGACTCAGTCACACTGAACTGTCAGACTCCATCATATGTGTCTCAGTGTTATTACCAAACTTTAAGTGGAGAAACTGTGAGGACATTTTCCTGTCTGCAGACACTGACAGGAAGTGAACTGCTGAAGATGGATCATCAGAGTTCATCTGCTGAGGTCAAAGTGGAATGTTTTTACACTGTTCAGATTGGAGACAAACATTTTCCATCTCCACACAGTGACACAGTCTCCATCAGCATACAAAGTGAGTAATACAAGTGTTGTCAATATTCATATATTTTGTTACATAATCAGAAAGAAACAAACTGGTTCAAGCAGTCTGATTTAAAGAGTTGGAATATTGTCAAAAGGCATCCTCTACCAGTATACATTTGTCAAGTGATTTATTTGAATGAAAATGCTTTTGCAGATTTGAGATGTATTTGAGCTACATTTGCTTTGTGTGTTTTAATAATTATTTTGAAAGTGATTATATAAGATAATCTGTTGTTGTTTATAGTCCTAAAAACACTCAAACAAACATACTAATGGGAGCACTGGTGGAACATGTATTATACTGTGATCCAGCGGTGATCACAGAGACAGACTCAGTCACACTGAACTGTCAGACTCCATCGTCAGTGTCTCAGTGTCAGTACTTCACTTTAAGTGGAGGAACTGTGAGGACATTTTCCTGTCTGCAGACACTGACAGGAAGTGAGCTGCTGAGGATGGATCATAAGAGTTCACCTGCTGAGGTCAAAGTGAAATGTTTTTACACTGTTCAGAGTGGAGACAGAAATGCTCGATCTCCAGAAAGTGAATATTCCTCTGTCTCTGTTCAAA